CCAATTGAACTGTATCATGTGTCACATCTCAGAACACATACACATTTTGGGAAAATAAATTATTTAGTGTAAATTGGAGTTATGCGATTTTCTGATTTGTTTTGACTTTGGGGGAGGGGGATGGCAATAAATAAGAGTAATATCTAATAAAACCATCACATATACCAAATACCTATTTAATAAATTAATTTATAATGGATTTTAATGCTTTTCATGAAAGTTTATTTTATGCTAGTGCATACCTTCTGTATGCCAATCATTGTCTTTAAAATAAAGTGAATTTGTTTTTTTCTTTTTGACTTTGATCTTCATTTACAAAGGGATCCTATACAAGTATCCAGTTGCCTCATTTGTACAGTCTGTATAAATACCCCAAAGGGCCTAGTACAGTAGTAGCAACCTTCATTTTTATAAAGATTAATACCTCCAAAAAACACCCAGTTTGGAATTATGTTTACAGAGCCATTTTCTTTGAAAAGGTGTGAAAGCTTTTTTCTGTCATGAATGAGTGGATGTTTTCTCTGGAGTCTTAAGTTTAGACCCAAATAAGAAGTGAGTTCACCAAAATTATTTTATGGTAGTTGGAGAAAGTTCTGTCTATTGATTGAAGCATTTGATTATTCAAGCGATGAGCCTAATAGCAAATGCTTGGCCAGGTGAAACTGACCAGTTAGCTCTCCAAGTTGTGTGCTCACAACTCTGTGAAGCCAGTCACTGCCTTTATACCTCTTAAAAAGAAAAATGTTGCTTTTCTGCCACTTTCAGCACACAAAAAAGCAGGTGTTATGCAGATCATAGAAACGAACCTTGCAGTGGCCTCAGAATAAAACACTGAAAAGGCAGGATAGTTACATACAACCTGAATTCAAAGGCCCAAAGAGGAAGAATGCCAGTGGTTCTCACCCTAATTTTTTTTCTCATAGTCTCAAAACATCTGGATTTAGCGTCAAGATATTTTTTTTTTAAGATTTATTTATGCATATAAGAGCTGGGGTGTAGGCCAGAGGGGTGGAAGGGGGTGTGTGAAAGGATTCACCAGAGACAGTGGGGAACAGAACAGGCAGATTTACTGAAATACACTGCTGAGGGAGCAGTGGGTGGGTCAGGAGAGGTCTGCTGTGCCATGTGGGTTAGCACCCTGGCTGGGGATCGAACTTACACTGAAGTGGCTGTTGATAGCTTCAGTGTGCTGAGACTTAACCCTGCACCACCAGGGAGGCCCTAGTGTCAAGATCTTAACTTTTGGGTCCCTTCCTTCCAGAACTGCATGGTCCGTATGGGAATATCAGTAGGCTGAAGGTTCCAGGAAATCCATACTTGTGCAAGGGCTGTGGTCAACAACAGGAAGAAGAGCATCTTTATGGTACTGTGCTGGTAGGAATGGGAAACTAATTCCCCATCAGAGTGGGAAGTGATAGTATTCTGTTTGTTTGAATCAACAGCTGCGTCAGGTCTGGAACAGCCCAGGAGCCTAGCAGCCCAGTGGGTCTACAGATGAGGAAAGAATCTCCCCAGCTTGGGAGGTGGGGAGGGGGCCTGCTAATTAACTAGAAGTAACAGACCCTCCCATAGGCTTCACCTTGAAACCTTCACATATTTGCTCTCTTCCTCTTATTCAAAGATTCTGCAGAGATTGAGCTCCGCTCTTCACTTCCTGTGGCTTGTAATCATACCCTATGGCTTGTGTGATGCCTGCCTCACAGTGCACCAAGGAGCTAATGGACAAGTCCCACTTCCTCCCCAGACTGGCCAGGCCAGACTCAAAAACAGAACTAGGAACACTTTGTATATCACAGGCTGCCTAGGGGCCAGATACCTCTTTGCTGGCCCCAAATCCCAATACTCACTGACAGAACAGAAGGCTTACTGTAGGAGAAAACCTGATCTTAAGTGACCTCAGAATATCTTACACGCTCCTCACACTCACCAGAGAAGTCAATTCAGACCCCAAAGTGACAACAAGGATCTGGAAAACAGGAGCTTGGATTCATCATGACAAACTGAGTTACCAGACTGGGTTGATATTCATTAATAGGCCACATCTTTAAACCCAGTAATGTGTACTTTAATTTACTCTTTAGGAGTCAACTAGTGATTGTCAGTTGCCAATCTCTACTTTTTTTTTTTTTTTTTTTTTTTTTTTTTTTAAATTTTTTTTTTTTTTTTTTAAATAGAGGCATGTTTTTTTATTTATTTATTTGTTTGTTTTGTTTTGTTTATACATGCACTGGGTACAGTCAGAAGCGTGGGAGGGTGAGAGAATTCACCAGAGCAGAGCGGGGAGCAGAGCAGGCAGAAGGACCGAAGTACACTGCTGAGGGGCAGGGGCGGCAGGAGAGGTCTGCGCGCCATGTGGGACCCTCCTCCGGTGGCCGGGGAGCAGCCGGGAATCGAACCGGCGCTGCAGAGGCCGCGGCAGCTTCGTAACCCAGCGCTCAACCGCTGCGCCACCGGGAGGCCGCCAATCTCTACTTTTTAATAGCTCAAGTGATGCCTACCTATCTGTGAAGGCATCAGCCTTCCTCACTAACATACTATTTTAGAAATAATGACTCAATATTATCACAATGAGTTTTCACACACAGACCTCCCACGTGAGCCACACGCTCGCGCTGCAGGAAATGGGACAGTTTCTTAATTTACAGATGAGGAGATTGAATCTCGAAGAAGCTAACTTAATTGCCTAAACGGAAATGAAATTTGTAAGCTGAAACAAAACCCACTTCTCTCCGAATTGCAGCTTTTTCCTAGAATACTTTGAAGGGGACATAACTTGTCATCTCTAAAGTCTTAGTTAATGAATACATGATGGTCTAAAAACCGTTAAGTGCTATACAAAGAGAGGTTATTTCGTTGTTACATGCAAGCATTGGTCTACAACCTGAATAATAAAAGTACAAGTACTGTTACGGCCTGAGGCCTTGTGCCAGACCCCAGTGCCACACTCCTGGTTTTCCTTCTCCCCTCTCATTCCATTTCCTGCATCTCCTTCTACCCAGGCCTTGTTCTAAACCTTGATGTTCACAGGCCTGAGGCTTCCTCTCTTTTTTTCTCATCTCATCAGTGTGATGACTTCAAATTCCACCTCTCCATAGATACATCCGGAATTCTCTCTGATTGTAAACATTCCTCTGAATCTAGATTCAAGGTCAAATGATATGGGACACATTTTGTGTGTCTTACAGACATGAATACAACTGCTGATCTCCAGCCCTCTCCCCAATTTTGTCCAGTCAACCCCATCTCAGTATGAAGGCACCGCTAAGAAACTAAATCACTATTTTGTAATGGACACCCTATCAGTTCTCCAGTATAAATCCAAAATAATCTTGAAAACCAGTCCCTGGCACTGCCCTGGCTCAGGCCACCCTCCTCTCTACAGTCAAGGTTCCAACAGCCTCCTTACTGGTTGTCTGGCCTCCTTTTTTAACTCTCTAAAATCCATTCTCCATAGTTCAGCCACAGCAAGTTATTTTCTTTCCAGAGTGATATTCTTAAAATATAGGTCATATCATTTCCCTACTTAAAACCCATCAGTAACTTTTTGTTGCTCGTGGAATAAAATCTAGTCTCTACCCTCCTACCACTTACCTCCTCAACCACAAGCTCCAGCTTCACTATGGGCAGTTCTTCAAACACACCACTTAGGGTGTGTTTCCTGAAAAACACCTGCAGCTCCTCACCCTTCGCCTGTGCCATCGCTGAACCTAGAGTGTTCCCTCCCTCTCTGGAAGGTATGCTCCTTCAACTCTTGCCTTACCCCATGTCCTCAGAGGTCTTCAACCATGCAGTCTAATGTAGATTTCTCCCCAACCCTTTGCTCCACTTCAGTTCCTCTTTCCCACGTTGTACAATGTGCATTTTTTTTCTACTTTTGGCCTCCTACACCAGTTTTTGGTCTGTGATAGGTTCTTAATAAATATTTCTTGACTGAATCAATATTTTACTTTTGAAGACTGAAATGCTTCTGCAAAAATTTCCCCCCTTTCTCCTACCTCTGACTCCTGGGAGCCATCTTGAAGAGACCAGACCTTGAATGTTAAAGTTCTCTGCTTCTGCTGCCTTCAGCAGGGTTTATAACCCCACGAAGAAATGGGAACTTGTGGAATAATGTAGGGACAGTCAACACTAGCAGCGGACTTAGGCATTCTTTCTTTACATATGGATTCATCTAAATGTAAATATTTCATTATGATATATAAAATGTAATATTTCCTTAAAATGGAAATAGTGTTTTCTTTCCTCATGAAGACTTTATCAGCTAAAACTATAAACTAGGTTTAGAGGGGGCCATTTGGGATCCTATGATGGGAAAGGTTAGGTAGGGGCCACTATGACCCCAGAGTCCCTTTGACTACATCTCTCTCCCAAGAACCTGCATATGGCTCCCCTTATGCCCAAATCTTAGTCATTATGAGGTCCCAACTCCTTTTGGGCCAAGGTCACTCCATTAAAGCAGACCTTGAGCAGTCCCAAGAATCCAGGCCCCAATACATGGACCCAGGCCATAAGTTCTCTCTGACGCAAAGCAGGGCAGCCTGCAAAGATCACAGGTGATCCTCCAGTGACGGTATAAGCTGCAGATTCAAATTAGGGGATTGGGCCCTTTCCATATTTTCCCAGTGAGCCTTTACCACGCTCTTTCTGCTTTCTCCAGTCTTTTGTGGTTTCTGGATCTTATCTGCTAGCTACATTAGCATCTCAGTTTGGGTTCTGTCTAGTTTACGGTTCCTGGTTCTGGAAACTTTTTCTGCCCACTGGTAACTGCTGCTATTTTCTCTTCAAGAGTGAAAATCACACAGTCATGGTGACTGGCTGGTGGGAAGATGAGGAGAGAAGCTCCATACCTGAACTCACCTGGCTGCTAGTTCTTCCATTTCACAGTAAACACATTTGCTAGTGCTTGTGTGATTTGACTACAGTCAAAATGAAAGGCACCTCCCCAAGCTCCAGCTCCCTAAAGAATGTCTCCTCACTCTTTTTTCCAAAATTATAGTCACACTCTTATCCAAATTTAACCACAATTCATTTAATTTTTCTGTTGTTTTTTTTTTTCTTCCTTAATCTGGCTAAGATTCTGAAGAGCCTTAACTCCCTGAGGAAGGTGGGGGAGACTAAAGCAGGAGCCTCTGTACAGATGTTCAAGATCCCCACCTCTATCAAGTGAGGTGGTCTCTGCAGCTTTTAGAGAATCTATGGACAGACCCTGGGGATTCCACAGAAAAGAAGCTATAGGAACAGTAAAGAAATGGGAAGGCCTCAGAGAGGGGGCTCACTAATAAGCTGTGCGAACTCGCTGAAACACAGCTCTCACAGGCACTTTTCTGTGGTTAGAAAATACATGTATATTTTAAAATTATTTTTATAAGACTGTGACTTTCAGACAAAGCCAAATGTTTTAATTACAGAACAATGCCTACACATTTTATGTCTTTCTACTCCACCTTCCAAAAAAAGTGTTTTTAAAATACTGGCGCCTTTGTGCAGAACTATGTGCTCATCTGTAACCAATTCTGCTGGGAAGTCAGTCTGCTCCATTTTGTAGTCAAGCCAAGTATTACGCTCAGCCAGTGGTGCGCTTCGGACCGTCCCTGTTCGTTACCACGTACCCTGGGAAGTTTCCCATTGTTTGGAAGAAGCTTTGATTTCACTGTCCCTTCTCTGTGACCAACAAAATCACAGGCCAGAGATATGTCAGCCTTCTCTCTCCATCCCCAAGTGTCTCTGTGGACCCTGGAGAAGCCCTACGGCTCCTCCTCACCGACCACCTCACCATTGTCGCTGCACTGGGCCTGTCGCCTCTGCTGCACCAGTTGTTTGTCCAGTTCTCTGAGCTGCTTCAGAAAGCCCCGGTTGGGTAGGACACAGCGGTTCTTGGCCACTTGTTGAATGGCGTCCACTAGGGTCATGTTCCTGTGGATCATCAGGTAGGCCAGGACCAGGGTAGCTGACCGGCTGCGGCCCATGACACAGTGAACCAGGATTTTATCTGAAATGGAGTGGGGAGAAGAGGCATCAAGCTATACTAGCCATCACTGCATTCTTCAGCACCATGCACACTTGGGAGAAATAAAAAACTAACTTTCCTTAAACTACCCTCGATGAAGCAGTAAAAATTTTATCAAATTTCACTACCTCGGGCCTCCCCGGTGGTACAGCGGTTGAGCGCTGGGCTGTGAAGCTGCCCGCAGCCTCTGCAGCACCGGTTCGATCCCCGGCTACCGGCGAGGGTCCCACATGGCGCGCAGACCTCTCCTGCCGCCCGCTGCTCCCCTCAGCAGTGTATTTCGTCAGACTGCCTGTTCTGCTCTCCACTCTGGCTCTGGTGAATTCTCTCACCCTCCCGCACTTCTGACTGTATCCAGTACTTGTATAAATAAATAAATAAATCTTTAAAAAAAAATGTTTTTTAAAAAAAAAATTTCACTACCTCGTTACACTCCTTAAAATTCTGTGTGATGAAATGGGAGGTACATACATAGCAGTTTGGTTGCACACCAAAGTGCAACATTTATCTCAAGGAAAAGCACGTGGGAGATTGAGTGGCAGGTTGAGTTAGCCACTCTTTCACAAGACACCATTTTTACTTAAAAGGAGGTAATTTAGGGCCTCCCCGGTGGCGCAGCAGTTGAGCACTGGGTTGCGAAGCTGCCCACAGCCTCTGCAGCGCTGGTTCAATCCCCAGCCGCGGGCGAGGGTCCCACATGGTGCGCAGACCTCTCCTGCAGCGCCTGCTGCTCCCCTCAGCAGTGTATTTCATCACTCTGCCTGTTCTGCTCCCTTCTCTGGCGCTGGTGAATTCTCATACCCTCCCATGCCTCTGACTGTACCCAGTGCTTGTATAAATAAATAAATCTTTAAAAAAAAATTGGTAATTTAAATTTGGATATTTAGCAGCCTTTTTCTCAAAGTGATCAAAATGAGCTTTTTTTATCATAGGAAACACTAATATTTGTTGCCAGTGATAAAATGCAAGCTTTCAAGCAAAAATTTGAAAAAAAAAAGAAAATTTTGGAAAACTTGTAGCTATAACCATGAGACAGACAGTTTCCTAATACTTTTAAGATTTTTATGTTACAATCTATAGTGATATTGAGAAGTGTATTTTTTGGATAACATACAAATTGGACTTAGTAAACCAATGTTTTACATTTACTAATGAAGGATATTACAAAATTATGCATGGGCAAAAAATGTATTCAAAGTGTAAGACAGCTATGTCCTTAGGGACTCAACTACAATGGCAAGGAAAACAAAAGCAAATATAACCAAATGGGACTACATTAAACTGAAAAGCTTCTGTAAAGAGAAACACACTATCATTAATACAAAAAGCTGTAATGGAAGAAAATATTTGTACATCATGCATCCAACAAAGGGGCTAATATCCCAAATCTACAAAGGACTCCTACAACTCAATGGTAAGAAAACAAATAACCCAATTTAAAAAAATGGGCAGAAGAGCTAAATACTTCTCCAAAGAAGACATACAGATGGCCAGCAGGCACATGAAAAAGTGTTTCTCATCAGGGAAATGCAACTCAAAACCACAAATGGGAAACCACCTCACACCTGTGAGTATGGCCTAAATCAAAAAGTCCAGAAACAAGTGTTGACAGGGGTGTGGAGAAAAAAGGAGTCTTTGTACACTGTTTGGAATTAAGACTAGTCCAGCCTCTATAGAAAACGGTATGGAGGTTTCTCAAAACATTAAAAGTAGATCTTGATCTACTTTTAATCAAAACATTAAAAGTAGATCTACTTGATCTACTTGATCTACCCCTATGTTCATCGCAACACTATTTACAATAGCCAAGCTGTAGAAACCACATAAGTGCCCAAGAACAGGTGAGTGGAAAAGGATGTGATATATGTACAAAATGGAATACTACTCAACTATAAAAAAAGATGAAATCTTTTTAGTCATTTCCAACAACATGAATGGAACTGGAGCAGATGATGGCAAATGAAATAAGTCAGAAGGAGAAAGACAAATACCAGATGATTTAATTCATATGTGAAATATAAAGAAACAAAACCAAAAAAAAAAAAGAAAAGTGTACTGATATTGACAAGTGTTTTTTTGAATACTGTACAATGAAAAATGTCAACATTAGAAAGACCTGTATGACTTATCAAACCAAGGTTTTCCAAACGACTGATGTGGGATATCACAAAATTATGCATGGGCAACAAAAAGGGAAGGGGCCCAATGGACTATGGTGGAGGATTATTGGGGTGTTTGTGGTGGATGTGATGTGATAACATACTTTTTGTAAAGGTGCGATATACCCCTAAGTCATAAATAGTGTTGTAAACCAACATAACCTCAATCAACAATTTAAAAACTGTGGGGAAGACAGGTCAATGTTTGAGACAGGTCAATAGCTTTTCATGTGATAAATTAATAGATAATGTATGAAGTTTATTGATTGATAAGGCTTCAAATTCTACATTGTAACTGGCCTTTGAGATGTTATCGCTTGTTGAATTTTTGGTGTAGTAGCAAAGGAGAATACCCACAATTATCTGAAAAAGTAAAACTTCTCTCCCAAATACATATCTGAGTAAGGGTGGATTTTCTTTATATTCTTTAACCAAAACATGAAACATCACAACAGAGCTGATATGAGAATTTCAACTGAATCCATTTGGTGGAGCTCTAGAGCTCGTCATGCATCGATGATTTCATTTCATCCCTGACACCACCTAACAGTTTCATCGTCATCATTCCAGCACTCTGAATGGGGAAATAGGTTCAGAGAGGTGCCAGCGGTCACCCTGAAAGCTGACGCCATCACTAGAAATAGTCCAGAGCAACATGTTATTGTATGCTATACAGTGGCCGCTGGTCATTGTGTTCTGGAGACAGAGAAAGTAATGAGATTGTCCTCTCTGGCCACCCCCACCCCTGGCATCCTGTGGCTGTACTCCCCAACAGATTGCTCTGTGGGGTTGAGCTAGCTGGGACAACTTGAGCCTTGTGATCCATGGCTGTCCTTATTCCTGAGTCTTAGGTCTGAGGCCTGGAAGGATGACCAAGAAGACACTCAAGGACATTTCTAGGTTTGTGGAGTATCAGCAGGATATGAGAACAGCTTAGCAAAGAACACTTGTGAATGAATGCCCCTCCCACCCCACCCTCTCACCTTCCTCTGGTCTCCTGGGGACCAGGCCCAGGAAAGTGGTTATGGTCAACAGCCATAGCAGCATGAGAAATGCAAGAGGCCTGGACCACTGGCATTTTCTCTCCCACCACAACCTGGCTGGAGAGGCCTGCACACCCTGCACATGAGTCCAGGGGTATGGACTTGACTCATGGTCTCTCCAAACGCAATTCCTGGCACAGAGTCACTCCAGAAAAAATGATTAATTCTATCACAATTCATTTTCAAAAATCTTTGCAAGCTAACAAGCTGACCAGACAGCCCTCACATCCCACCCTCGTGTTACTGAGCTACAAGTGTGGCCGCACTGCCTTTATCTTGCGACTTTCGCCAGAAAGGAGGGTGAGGACCAGTGCCCCTGCTTCTTTATTGCTGTATTGGGTTTGGGGGAGACTGGTTTGGAGGTGATTGACCCCAGGCATACACCAGGCATGACTGTCCATGCCTGGAGTGGAATGTCTACCTCTGGCATTCTAATCCCCACAGACTGTTCCAGGGGTTGCCTGGCCCTTTGCCAACTCTGCTGATAACTAAAGCGTTTCTTCCTCTCCTGGCAAAAGGGGTAATTCTGTCTGTCATGACTAAATACTTGAAATAGACGAAAGCTGTAGTTCATTAAGTCCATTGGGAGCCTGAAGTCTGTTAAGTGGGAGGAGGGGAGAGAGGTAGAGTGGAGCAGGGGTAGAGGAGGAGGGGATGGTGGGAGAGGAGGGGTTGAGGTGGTGCTCACCTCCAACTGGCGCTTCTTGAGCTGAATTTTGTTTTCACCAGAGCTGTTTTAAGCTGTCAGCCATGTGAGAATGTAGGTATCCCTAGGGCAAGAGGCTTGCCCCAAGACCCTGAGGGGACTATTCCCTCTTGGCTCTAAGGCTCTACTCTGCACAATCCTTTGGGGCCCTAGATGGGGTGGTGAGAAACTGCTACCAGGAGAATCCAGAACAGAAGGCACTGAAGGTGGCACTTGAACTGTTCCCAGCATAGCCCACATCAGAGAAACCAGGAGGCTCTCTGTAAGTAAGATACCAAGCAGGATTAGGGCTCTGAATGAAGGTAGCATTGCCAGGGCTGGCATTTTCTAGCTCAGTGCCTTTCAAACCTTTTAGTGTGTGACCTCTGAAAACAGAACTTAAAGTTCACAGTTAACATGTATATAGCCTCACCCTGCCCTAACTCTTCCAAGGGTGTCAATCCTCAAAAGAACTCAACGAGGTAGATCAAATTATTATCTCCATTTTACAGAAGAGGGAGCTGGAGCGCAGAGAAGAGACTTGTCAAGTCTCACAGCCAGGATGTGGCAGATACAAGCCCAGGCAACCCAATGGCCGTTGACTTTCTTAAATATGGTGTGGTGTCACAAGTGTGCATGTATGAGATCAATGTTTCACCAGATAATGTGTACTTTTATTTCATGCAGTGTATGCTGATAGTTTCAATTTTTCAATTTTTTTCTAACCTGTTTTTTTTTTTAATGCTGGTTGCACCCAATAACTTGATTTTAAGACTCACTGATAAGTCCTAATTTTTGTTTGAAAATGATGATTTAAATTAAATATTTCCCCTTTGACTTTTACCAAGAGGTGGATTCCCACAATCTTATGATTGCATGATGTCACTGGTCACCAGAAGGTAGGCGTCTGTCACTCAAGACAGACATCCAAGGCAGACCTATTACCTACCTCCATCTCCCCAACTTTGCCCTCCCCATCAGGTATACATAGTCCTTTTTTAATTTGGGGGGGATGCCTTGTTCCTGTCTCTTACTCACTACCTTGCAAACTGCCTGCCCAGCAGCATAGCATCCAAAGACACACATTTCTCCGGGAAGTTGTAGGCGTGTGGAAATCCTCAGAAAAAGGGTGAGTGTTGTGTTTTGAACAGCCTGGGGGCAGGTCTGTATGTGTTGCTGTGAGGCAGAAGATCCTTAAAACACCCTGAAAATTTGGTATGGTTAAAGCTTAGACACAATGGAGAATCATCTTCCTGCTCAAAAGCAGAAAAGCAGACTTACTTATTCAAACCTAACTTATTTATAATAGATTTTAAGATGGCTTCAAAAGAAGGCTATGGACTGTTTGTGTAAGAAAAGGAGGAAAGAAGAAAGTTGGCCTGATGATACTAATATCTGATCTTTATAGTCTCCTGGTATCTGCCCCGGGGTTTCTTAGAAGTTTTCATTAAATGAAAACCATACTAATTCACGTCTGAGGATGTCAACCCAGGAGCAGTTTAGTAAGTCCAAATGGGATCCCATGGCACTATTTTGCCAGTATTTCTTTTTCTGATGAAGACTGACAAGTTCAGTTGTTTCAGATCCTATAACCAGCTGGCATACCTTACCTTCCATGATATTTGGTGACCTTTTATATGGCAAAGTCACCAGATGCTCAAAATAAGGGCATTGAACTCTTTGAGTGACAGCAGGAATTCCTGCTGGCCTCTAATTACCTCTGTGACCCTGGACACATCACTTGACTTCTCTGGACCTCTGTTTCCCCAGTGCTTAGGGCAGGACACTGGACTAGATTACCTCTAAGATTTTTTAAGAGTGACTGATTGCCTGGGGAGTACTTCCAGAAGGGTCAGGTCGGGGCAAGGTGGGGGTAAATGTGAACCCCACAGGGCTGATTATAGCCCATGAGTACTCTCTCCACCACCACCAGGAATGTTTTTCAACAAGAAAGAATGGCACTGGCTGGGAGGGGCAGCAGTGGGAAACTGTGCACTTGGCTGAAACCAGCCAGGGAAGAACAGGACAGAGAAGCGACAGGAAAAAGATGCCTTGCTTTTGCGTCCACACTGTCCATCAACACCTCTTACTTCAAGAGTATAATAAGAAACTTGCGAACGAGCTTGGCTCTAAAGAGCTCCTGTCATATGTCCCTGGTTTTCTAATGCATGACTAGACACAGCCAGGCCACCTACCGCATGTGGCATGCAGGCTGAGCACATGCCACCTCCAAGGTATGGCGACAAGGACAAGGCCGTGACAGAGCTAACAGGCATTTTATTTTGTTACTCTGACTACTTAGAGTACAGGTTACAAACAGGCAGCCATTGATTCTTTTGTTGTTGTTGTTGTTGTTGTTTGGCTTTTGCAGCATTTTAAGAAATTGTCAGTTTGTTGCCAACACTTAAGCGATTTTACAGTAAAATCCAGATTGGAGACTTTTCCTGAAAAGTCGGGTTTATTACATTTGCACTGTTTCTCACAAGACAAATCTTGGCTGGGACTAAGTAGCAGCTGCCCCTGGAGAGGGGATGTAGGCCTGTCTGCTTGGCCACAAGCACCCCCTACCTGCATCCCACAGCCTTATACAGCCAACTTCGCTAGTTAAGTTTTCTGCATGGTCCTGAATGGTTGGCTTTTGATTTGTGCCTCAGACTTGAGGAAATCTTCAGCTATGCAAGTGCAAAGGGCACTGAGAAGGGGGCCCAACCACTCACCTGGCAATGAGCTCATGTCCCCCTTCCCAGCCAACTGGCTTAGTCCCACACCCCACTCATGCTTTCTATACACACCCACCCACCCCCCACAACCATGTCTGACCTGTGTATGTGCTTTTCCCTTTCTTTCTCTGACCCGTTCTTTGCAAAGTGCTTCCAACCACCCAGTCTAGCAGTCACAATCCACACTATCCTGACATCTCACTGATGTTCTGTCATCTGTTCAGGCCTGAACAGATGACTCGGCGCCCCATTCTTTCCTAATTCAGCAGTGGGGGCAGACTCTAAAATGGTGTGCCAGCAACAGAAAACCAGCTGTCGTGTGAGTATATCGCAGGAGTTCAAAGTTGGAATGTCTTTTTTTTTTCCCTTTCGGGATTGGAAACTTTATTATGATGATGTGCACGTGCTGGTGTGGTTACAGGCTTCACGGTACACGACCTCTCTTTATCAAATACATCTGAGAGCCTGCTGTGCACCAGGTTCTATGCTAAGTGCTTTATGTGGGTTACTGCTGATCCTCATTATAACCTTTCAAGGTAAAAATTTTCATCGCCAGTTGGAGAAACCAAGACTCAGAGAAATCACATCGTTAGCAAGTTGTGGGGCATGAATATGCACCCAGCCCTGTCTTCTCCCAAATCTGCCAGACTGCTTCCATTAAGGGTGGAGGGGTGGGGGGTCAAAGATATGGTAAAGGCAAGTGAGCACATTAAACAGAAACTGAAGGATTGGGTTGTTATAGCTTTTTGTTTTTTCATGTCAAATATGTTTTCAGTTAACTTCAAATACTCTCAGGCAACTTTTACCTCATGGTGATGAGTCAAGAGTCCAGTTGCTTTTTGATCCTGCCTGGAAACCCAGAATGTGCATAACACAAAAGATGGCCCATAAATAGACTCATAAAAGGACAACTTTGAAATAAGGCATCCCCAAATGCATAAACTTCTCTGTGAATTGTTTTTCATTGCGACTTTGCTTTCTGAGCCAAAATAGTGGCAAGTTGTCAACGCCTGTGACTGGCTAAGGAAGCAGGGGCACCTTGGGATGACCATCAAGGTCTGGGGCTTTCTAGCAGATGTAACCTAGTCTCAGTTGGAGGTTGCAATTTCTTGAAGCAGCCTAGTCGATCAGTCAGTGAGGGAGCCTTATGACCCCAACTTCTTGTGGCAAGCAAATCTTAGTAACCCGATATTCTAAATTGTGATACAGCCTTATAAAGGGGTGTGACACATGGGGCTGAAGTCAGAGCAGATTAATAGGGCAGCGAAGTCCCTCTGGCCTCTAAGGAATGCCACTGAAATACACCCTGAAGCAAAAACTGCATATTTTTTGCCCCTTATGCATACCTGAACTTGTACCCTTCTCTCCAAAATAGCCCTGTAGACTTTATCTGGATTAGGGCAGTTAAAACTGCATTTTGAGCACAAGGACTAGCACTGTGATTTAAAAGATGGATAACCTAGCCTTAAGAAACTTGAACAAAACGCACATTCTCAAATACAGTTTGCCACCTGTGAGGATCAGCTGTCAGCTTTCTCTAGGAGTCCTCACTCGGCAAAGGTGGGGCGGGAATGTGAAGGGGTAAGAGTAAGGCTGTGACTTGGTTTGGCAGGAGAATTCGAAATCTCCGCAGATTCCCACCCAAGTCTGCTCCCTGAGGTTTTCTGGCATCGAAGCCCTTGCTGTTAGTCGGGTTTGAGCCTCGGCACCATTAGTGTTTCACCCAAGCCCCAACCATTCCAAGGATGGCAGATGGTCTTTAGGGAAGTGGGATTCAGGCCAAAGTCCTCTCCTCTGAACCCTCCGGATCCACCGGGCACAATCACGGCCGGAACTCTACCAGCTGCACGCTCTGTGGGGCTCTCGGCCTCCCGGAGCTCAGACGTGTGCAGTCTAACCACACACTACGCCCAACTTCGGCAGTGCAGGTTCTGAGGGAACACATACCAGGCTCCCAAGCCAAAGCTGGGGCTCGGGCTGGGGGCGGGGCCACGTCTGGGTGGGGCCAGCTTGGGGGCGGGACCAGTTTTGGGCGTGGCCACGTCTGGGGCGGGGTCAGTTTGGGGGCGTGGTCACAGTTTGGGCGGGGCCACGTCTGAATGGGGCCAGTTTGGGGGGGCCACATCTGGGGGCGGGACCAGTTTGGGCGGGACCACGTCTGGGGCGGGGCCAGCTTGGGGGCGGGGCCACGGCTGGAAGAGGGTGGAGCTGACCGCGACGCTCTTACTGTGGTCGCCTCGGAGCGCAGAGTCGATGAAAGCGGCCGCCGAGTAGAAGAAGACGCTGAGGTCGAACGTGGGCAGGTCGTCGGCCTCCACGCCGTGGTACTCAATGGCCAAGTCTCGGTAGTAGTCGGGGCCCGTGTCCACGTTCCAGCGGCCGTGGGCCGCGTTCAGCACGTGAGTGAAGCGCGCCTTCTGCAGACTGTAGCGGTCCAGCGCGGTGGCCCTGGGCGCGAGGGAGAGGGGCTGGTGGGCTGCGCGGCCACGCGGGGGGCGCCCACGGGTTTTTGCTCTCGATTTCGGTGCCCAAAATATGGACTAGTCATCGAAATGACTTCCCTAGTCCAAAGGCCTGCTCTGTGTGTGTGTGTGTGTGTGCGTGAATTGCCTATTTATATTTTTCTTTTTTATATATTTTTACATCATTTTTCATTTTTGCACAATGTGTGCATTTTCATCTTGGTTATATTGGAAACAACCCAAATTCCCACAAATAGATGACTGGATCAAGAAGATGTGGTACATATACATAATGGAATATTACTCAGCAATCAAAAAAGATAAACACATGCAATTTGCAGCAACATGGATGGAGCTGGAGGGGATCATGCTCAGCAAAGGCCTGTTTTTACTGACCCCTTGGTCAGCTGTTGAAGGAAGGGGCTGGAGGGTGGGGTAGGCGAGCTATTCCTTTGTTTGTTCATTCGTTGTTACAATATTCACCAAATATAGAAGAGCTTCGTGCCAAATACTATGGTGGTCGCTGGAGTGGGGGCCACACCTCCCAAATCCCCCAAAGGCCGCCAAAATAATCTGTCAGGTGAAACTCAGTGTGAGAGAAGGGGCTGCCTTCACAGAACCCCAGGGCGCTCCTTGAAGCTGGGCTCTTCTGTGAACCCTCCACATGTTTATAGGGTTTGGAGGTCAGGGCTCTAATGAATGGTTTGGGATGGGTCTTTCAAGCCGAAGATTTGATTGGAATTGAGCAAAATTCTTGATGTTCAGGGATTGTTGAATACAGTGCAGAACCTTTTTTTGAATAAGTGGGCCATTGTGTAGTTGGGCCAAGCATTGTTCTGAAAAAGAGAACTATTTGATCAATCTGTTTGAATTGACTTCAGGGAGGTTCCTTAAGTCAACAATGAAGTTATTTACTGGGTTATAGTCTTATCTTTCTAAGAAAAAATTTTCAGGAACAAAGAGAAAAGTCATGTTGAAGTCAGTGGCCTGGAACTAGGACCAGAGTTATTTCTGCCTAGCAGGAAAGGGGGAGAGACCATGGGAGAGAGGCCTTTGAGCCTGCCTTACTTCAAGTGTCCGCTGTTGGTGGTAGAGGAGAAGAGGGAGGCAAGGACACACCAAGCCAAGGAAATAGCACAACCTAAGGGATAGAGGCTGGAGATAATAAAGGCCTATCAGGAAGGGTTCTTTATTTCCTAGAATCAGTCATTTATCCCCAAATAGAGAGTCAGAATTTGTTATGTGCCAGCACTGTCTTGGGTGCTGATGATCTAGCAGTGAATCAGTTAGTCAAGATCACTCAGGAAGCTTAGATTCTAATGGGGAGAGCAAATAGGCAGCAACTGAATAAACAGGATAATTTCAGGTGCAAGGGGTTAAGTCTCAGCACTGTGAAGCTGTCCACAGCCACTGTAGCATGAGTTTGATCCCCGGCCAGGGAGCTAACTCACATGGTGCAGCAGACCTCTCCTGTCTCACCCGCTGCTCCCCTCAGCAGTGTATTTCAGTCAGTCTGCCTGTTCTGCTCCCCACTTTGCCTCTGGTGTATCCTTTCACCTCCCAAACCTCTGGCCTGTACCTCAGATCTTGTATGCATAAATAAATTTAAAAAAAAAAAAACAAGATAATTTCAAAGAGCCGTAAGAGTTGTACAGAACCACCATGGAGTTCTGCTTTAGGTAAAGTGCTCAGAAGAGGCCTCTGTAGGAAGTGTTATTTAAGCTCAAACTGAGGGATAAGGTGGAGCTAGGCAGAGCAAGAGTTGGAGGAAAAGTGTTTAGTTCAGGCAGAGGGATAGCAAATGTTGGAACAGAAGGGGAACCCATGTGGCTGTCGTGGCAATGGGAATTGGGTTTAACAGGAAATGAGAAGGCATAGGCTGGGTCATGGTGGACCTTGCAGGCCTTAGAGAAGAACTTGGATATTATTCTAAGTATGGGGGAATGCCATTTGCCACAGAGAATTTTATTTATTTTGCCACAGAGGATTTTAAGCAAGGGGTGAGCATTGTTTACTTTTTTGAAGATCATTCTGGCTGGTGTGTGGAGATGAACTGGGGGGGAGGCAGACAATAGAAGCAGGGAGCTCTGCTGAAGGTTGTAGCGGTTGAATAGCCAAGTGAGGAAGGTGCTTGGACTAGAGTGAGATGGCACAGGACTTGCTGATAAACTAGGAATGAAGGCATGAAGAAGGGGGCTGGTTTGTCCAGAACAGAGGATGTGAAGGGAGAGCCAAAAAAGGTTTGAGGAGGGAGTGAGGGATTTAATGATGAAAATGCTTGAATGCCAGAATCTGTATTTGGGGGTGGAGAGCTTTTGAGTAGTGTTTGAGGAAGAGTAACTCAAATGGGTTTTAAGACAACATCTCCCTCAGTGGTGCAAAGGTCAATTGCACAGTTCAGCAAAGAGGTGACAGGGTCTGGAACTCCAACTATTAAGAGGCCAAAAGTGGTGCTGTGTTGCAGCTGAGGGCTTATCTCAAGGTCACGAGTGAAAGGATGTAGACAGACTGACCCTATTGGATGCCAGTGTGTATCAACACCTTGCACTGAAAAGACCCCTGCACCGGGAGCACAGGCCATGGCTGTTCAGTCAAGGCCCCCTTGTCTGTTACTGGCTTCCCGGAGGGCCCAGAAACAGCTGATCACAGGCATTGAGCTGTTAGAAACATTTGCAAAAGCCCTCTGGAGCTGAGATGGGGAGATAGGAGCCCTGCTGCAGCCTTTAGTGCTGCCATCCTGACTGTGGAACATACTCTGCTTTCAATTTTTCCACAGAAAGATCTGCTTCTCATTTTCCTTCTTGTCCCAAAGTATGTATACAACAAACATTATGCTTTTGGGACATAGGTCTGTGCTCAATTAAAGCCTCCACTAATGCAGTCCATCTTGCTGAGTAGCAATCAACCTCACTTTGAGGTTGAGCTCAGTGGAAAAATTAAAATTAACTGTCCTTGACAGGAAGTTCCTACCCACCATAAAGACTGTTCTCTCTGGGTTCAGCAGCTGGGTTTCAACATAATCAAATGACAATTTGAATAAATAACAATTTGCACTTTGCTGCTTTTGGAGTCAGGGATTAGGGTAGATATGCAACAAGACTCATGCATGGCGTGACACCTCTCCTCCTGCTCCATCCCCCCCACAGAGCTGACTTTGGCTGTGTCCAAGGGAGTGAAAAGGACTCCTGGGGAAGATTGGACCTGGTGGGCGTCTGAGGCCCACTGTGGGGTGTTGGGGTGCTGTGGCTACCTGGGGGGGAAGGGGACGTGGTAGCCTCATTACACCCCTCTCAGGGCATGTCCCCCTTGCTTGGTTTACTCAGAGTCCAGTAGAGGACTGGGAAGAGTATCCATGGCGGAATGGGGATTGGCAGATCAAGAGTGACTTTTGGTATTCTTAGTGGACAGGACTTTTGATGGAGGCAGGGTCCTGGTGGGCCCAGGGGCCTAGCGCATCAGTTATTGGAGGATGCTGTCTAGCTTTGTGTTGACAAAACAACACAAACAAACAAAACAAAACAAACAAAAATTTTGGCATCTCAGGTCACCTGCTCAGATGTATAATGTGAGAAAGAGGCTAAGAAATCTGTCTCTGCTGAAGAAGAAAAGTTCAAAAGAAAAACAGATTAAGGGGCCTCCCCGGTGGCGCAGCGGTTGAGCGCTGGGTTGCGAAGCTGCCCGGGGCCTCTGCGGCGCCGGTTCGATCCCCGGCTGCTCCCCGGCCACCAGAGGAGGGTCCCACATGGCGTGCAGACCTCTCCTGCCGCCCGCTGCTCCCCTCAGCAGTGTACTTCGGTCCTTCTGCCTGCTCTGCTCCCCGCTCTGGCTCTGGTGAATTCTCTCACCCTCCCGCGCTTCTGACTGTACCCAGTGCATGTATAAACAAAACAAACAAACAAACCAGCAAACAAATAAATAAAGCATGCCTCTATAAAAAAAAAAAAAAAAAAAAAAGAAAAACAGATTAAGGAATTTACTTCTAGATTCTAGATAATGAGGGAGCTTTTGTTTCTGGTTATTTAAGAAAAATCCTAGATGTTAGCAATCTGTTCATTTTAAAAATAGTATGTCCTCTAATTACAAAAATAATACATGCTCAATGCAGAATATGGACAGTTCTCTCTCTGTCTCTGTTTCTCTCTCTCACACACACACACACACACACACGCGCGCACACAAAACCTGTGTATCTACCCCCTAGAGATAGACTATTTTTTGATATGGGAACTCAAGTTGTCTCTTTTTATGTATGAATTTGTGTATTTTTACCCCACTAAGCCCCTGTTTTGGAATATTTGTGTTTCTTCTCCTGTCTCACATTATCTCTCTTTCTGTCTCTGTTTCTCTCTCTCCTCTTCCCTCCCTACCAAAAGGGTCAGTGCTGGGTATTACAATAAATACTAAAAATGAGCAACTTTGCTGTATTTCTTTGGGCATGTCTGTGTCTAAAGAAGATTTTTAAAGTGGAATTTCTGGGTTGAGAGGAGCATTTTTTTTTTTTTTTTTTTTTTTAGAGGCATGCTTTATTTATTTATTTTTATTTTTATTTTTTTTTGTTTGTTTTGTTTATACATGCACTGGGTACAGTCAGAAGCGCGGGAGGGTGAGAGAATTCACCAGAGCCAGAGCGGGGAGCAGAGCAGGCAGAAGGACCGAAGTACACTGCTGAGGGGAGCAGCGGGCGGCAGGAGAGGTCTGCGCGCCATGTGGGACCCTCCTCAGGTGGCCGGGGAGCAGCCGGGGATCGAACCGGCGCTGCAGAGGCTGAGCGCAGCTTCGTAACCCAGCGCTCAACCGCTGCGCCACCGGGAAGGCCCGAGAGGAGCATTTTTAACACATTTAATGCTTGTTACTAAATTGTCCTCTAGAAAGCCTGCTCAAATACACATTCCAATTTTCATTCTTTGTTGATTTCATAGGCAAGTCAAAAAGTGTCTTGTTTTCCTTAATTTGTTTTAGCAATGAAGTTGGACACTTTCTCACACA